TAAGGAGTATTTTGACAACTTCCGCCATTCGTCTTAATTGTAGATCTTGTCTTGCTGATCATTTTTTGTTTATATAAGTTTCTTTTTATCTATTATAAGTTATAAAATATAAAACAAAAACGCAAAAAAAATTGTACAAATCGTCATGAAAGGGCGTTAACTCTAATCAGAAGTCAAATGACTATTTCATACTACCCTTCTGATCATTTTTGCAGTTTAAAGTTTCTCTCTGTCTATATAGTTTTCAATATAATAGGCAAATATGAAAAAAATCAAAACAAGAGGCTCTCAAGAGCCTGAATCGCTCATCTGTAATTTTTTGTTTAAATCTTTCATCAATGATTATTTTTGCTTTTCAATATTATATTAATGAATGGCTTAAAACTTCCATTGAAATGTTCTAAGTATCTGTCATATTTTCTTCAAAATCAAAGAAATACATTTTACACAGATGTTTCATTTTAGCCACAGTGGCAATGTTTCTTGATGTACAAGAAAATAAAATACAAAATTTATACTAGATACTCTGAAACTCATTCATCCCAAGTTTGGTTTCAAAGGAGATTTTTTAAAGTAAGCAAACATTATCACTGAACTAGTATACATATTTGTTTAGGTGCCAGCTGAAGCACGCCTCCAGGTGCGGGAGTTTCTTGCTGCATTGAAGACCTATTGGTGGCCTTCAGCTGTTGTCTGCTCTATGGTCGGGTTGTTGTCTCTTTGACACATTCCCCATTTCCATTTTCAATTTTAAACTAAATAAATAAATTGTGAAAAATTGATTTCAAAGGGCAATAACTCCTTAAGGGGACAATTGACAATTTTGGTCATATGAACTTATTTATAGATCTTACTTTGCTGAATATTTTTGCTGTTTACAGTTTATCTTTATCATTCATAATATTCAAGAAAATAACCAAAATCTGCAAAATGTCCTTAAAATTACCAATTAAATGGCAGCAACCCAACAATGGGTTGTTAGATTCATCTGAAAATTTCAGGGCTGACAGAGCTTGGCCTAATAAACATTTTTACCTCTCGTCAGATTAGCTCTAAATGCTTTGGTTTTTGAGATATAAGCCAAAAATTGCATGTTACCCCTACGTTCTATTTTAGCCATGGCGGCCATGTTTTTTTTATGAAACAGAAAATAAAACACAAACTTTCTTCTAGACACCCTTAGTATCATTCAGCTTAAGTTTGGTTGGAATTGGTTTGTTAGTTTCAAAGAAGAAGATTTTTTAAAGTAAGAAAACATGATAAACAAATTGTGTAAAATTGTCCTTAAAGGGCAATAACTCCTTAAGGAGTCAATTGACAATTTTGATCATATGAACTTATTTGTAGATCTCATCTTGCTCAACATTTTTGCTGTTCACAGTTTATCTTTATCATTAATAATATTCAAAATAATAACCAAAAACTAAAATTTCCTTAAAATTACCCATTTAGTGGCAGCAACCCAACAATGGGTTATCAGATTCAACTAAAAATTTCAGGGTTGATAGAACTACACCTAATGAACACTTTAACCTATGTAAGATTTGATCTAAATGCTTTGGTTTTTGAGATATAAGCCAAAAGCTGCAGTTTACCCCTATGTTCTATTTTTAGCCATGGCGGCCATATTATTTGACGAAACAGTAAATAAAACACAACCTTTATTCTAGATACCCTAAGCATCATTCAGCTTAAGTTTGGTTGGAATTGGTTCAGTATTTTAAGAGGAGAAGCTAGATGTTTGAAATAGTTTACACCAGAAGGACGACGACAGATGCCAAGTGATGACAAAAACTCACCGTTCCGAGCTAAAAACTGCAAAATTTCCTTAAAATTACCAATTCAGAGGCAGCAACCCAACAACGGGTTGTCGAATTTGTCTGAAAATTGCAGGGCAAATAGATATTGACCTATTGAACAATTTTACCCTGTCAGATTTTCTCTTAATGCTTTGGTTCAGTGATTTAAGCCAAAATCTTCATTTTACCACGATGTTCTAGTTTTAGCATGGCGGCCATCTTGGTTGGCGGGCTGGGTCGTTGGACACATTTTTAAACTAGATACCCCAATGATGATTGTGGCCAAGTTTGGGTTACTTTGGCCCAGTAGTTTCAGAGAAGATTTTTGTAAAAGTAAATGACGGACGACAGACAACCAACGCATGTTGAAAGGGCTGAACTCATCAGATGGATACAAAGCATGAAAACACTAAAGACACAAACTGCAGATCTGAGATTAATCCTAATTACTGAAAGCTAGTTCATAGCCAATAACTTAATAAATAAACTGCATGTTGACACAGATATTTCACCCTTTTTGTAATTTTGATAGTTAAATGCAAATGTTAAAATTAAAATGGTTACCGTTAAAAGGCTTGTATAGTCCGCGGTTTTATTCTCCAAAATTGAACCTGCCAGACAGGGGTGTGGACTATAGAGTACTATAAGCAAGAAATAAAAAAAAAATTGATTTCGCGAGGTGGCTCATGTACCGCCATGTTTGTTTTTGATATTGTAGAGGGCACTCTTATCATTTTTAAAACTAGTAATTTTACCTTATCTATATTAATAAGTTATTTTTATTCAATATCAAATTAATACTGATAAATTTAAAAATTAAATGCTTCATTACGAATTTCTCATTTCTTTTCACTGCATTGCTTAATATAAACTGGAATCTGCATGAATAAAAGGGAACGAAAAGAGTAAAAAAAGTCAACCGTAAACCAGCTTACAATGTGTAAACTACAAAACGTAATTGGTTATTATAATCCGTTTACTTATAATAAATCTTCAGAAAATAATTCTTAAAAATTCATTTTTGCAAATACAATTTTTTTCTTGATGTATGTTAAATTAATTTGTATGATATATTACGAACTCTGACTATGAATATTATAATTTTGGGCCAATAATCAAAAAAGTTACCCATTAGGTCTCTATGTTACTTCTATTTTTGTCTATATAAAATACTTGATGGAGTAAGTATGAATAGTGTAACAGCCTTTCATGACATGTATAATGTCCTTTGATATTTAAATGAGTTATTATTTAGTCACATGGTACAATGAAACAGGGTTTAAAGCACGTCTTATGTTTTTGTTTTGAATGAAAAGCTGTTACACTATTCATACTTACTCCATTAAGTATTTTACATAAAGAAAATAGGAGTAACATAGAGACTTTTTTGATTATTGGCCTAAAATTATGATATTCATAAGTCAGAGTTCGTATATATATATCATACATTAACATACATCAAGAAAAAAATTGTTTATTTGCAAAATTGAATTTTTAAGAATTATTTTCTGAAGATTTATAGAAGTCAAACGGACTATATTCGTTCCATTTTGGTGTTTCATACAGACGAATATGTTTTGTATTAGCTTAAGACCCTTCAAACATTAATGTGATAATATATTAAACATTGTTTTACACATTTAGGATATGCATGCATGGAACTGTTTTACTTTCAAAGTTGTATTATAGTGATATCTGTTAAGTACGGATTTCGACTCTCACCGTTTTTATTTTCTTTTACATGTGCTATTCAAACTTCCGGTTAAAACATACACAGGTTTCTAAATTGTTTTTTGTGTGATTTTGACTTACTTTAACAATCGTGAAGTGTACTAGAATGAATCATTTACAAGCAGTTTCAACTTCTGTTTGATGATGGAAAATGGGTTTACCATGAAAATACCGCAAACGACCACACACAATTTGTGAAACTACCGCAGTTTCATTAGATATTTTCCAACAGTTACAAATAGTTTTTTTTACCTGAAATTTAGTGGGGAGATTAGGGGGTGCTGACAATTATGTACTAGTGCAAACATGACTGAAGTCTGCAGGGCCAAATATAAACCTCCATGGAAAAGAGAAATGCTAATGCTTATATTAACTGTTGACACAGAGACATGTCTTGCCTTTTAGCATAAAATTCAGAAAAAGACAATTTGATGGACAGCAAGATTGCTTATTAAATCAGTCACTAGACCAAGATCAAGTGGGCAGGGCCTGGAAATCATGGTCCACAAACACAGAGATGGACAGACCGTTATGTAACTTTATAGAAAATATCGTTGTTTATTGTAACTTTGAATTATTTAGCAATTTTCAATGTTACTATTTTCTGCTTAAGTTACAAATATATATATATATATATATTGATAGGAACTGATAGAAATGCGACTTCATACAAAATATCATTGATCTATCACAAATAGATTCTATCATTTAACTGACTTAAGCAGAACAACTTAATTAACATTGAAAATTGCTAATTAATTCAAAGCTCCTAGGACCTAGGGGCAGGGCCTCAAAATAGTCGTCAAACTGATATATGTACTGATAGTAAAGCGACTTCATACAAAAAATTATTAACCTAGCACAGTTAGTTCCTTTCAAACTAACTTCAGCAGAAAACTTAACAATTGTTGATGCCAGAGCTGAAACTGTCATTGTTGCCAGAAAAACAATCCCTATGTTTTAAATACTTTCCATGACTTTCGTCACAAGAGAGGCTTCAATGCACATTTACAGATAAGACAAATCAACTGTGCAAAATTTTGTTTGGTTTGTGCGTTCACAGAAAATTGTGGACAAAAAACACAGATGGACAAATCGAAAAATAAAGGGATCCCTCGTCCTATTGGAAGGCCCTAATAATAGTTTACACATCTCTGTATTGCATGCTCAATTGAAGCTTGATACTGTCTAAATTTCAGAATTAAATTTGGTACTCCAAAGACTGATGAAAACAAGGACAGATGAACTGACATATTTATAACCAACAAACCCTCCTTCCTTCCATTGGACGTGGAAATAAATTCATATTTAACACTTTGATAATATACATTATTGAGTAAATAGAGAGATTGTTACTCATTTAAAGTATTATATACCCTATTTGGCAGGTTGTCCCTATTACTGACCAACCTGGAAGACTTTGATTAAAGTTAGGAGATAATGAGTGAATTAATTACAAAAGATGCTTACCATGAAACAACCTGCCATTTCCATCATCTTAAATTGTCTAGTGTTGCCTGCCACAGTGTTTTGTCTAGTGTGGCTCATTACAAACACTGAACTGGAAGCCTGAAAACAATGATTCAAAGTCAGTAAATATTGACACAAATAATGAAATTATTCAAAAAATTGTGCAGAATTTTAATATCTTTATTTCAAATAAAAAAATACTTGGCATGAGTAAAGTTTTATCCTGTCCAGTACTATAGAAAAAATTTCAAATAACATTTCAATGCGTTTAAGAAAATAACCATCACTGGAAGTTAAACAATCAAATTTTCACCTCTTTTTAGCTCACCGAGGCCCGAAGGGCCCCATGTGAGCTTATGCCATCACTTGGCGTCCGTCGTAAACTATTTCAAAAATCTTCTCCTCTGAAACTACTTGGCCAAATACCTTCAAACTTTAATTAAATGTTCCTTAGGGTATCTAGGTTATAAATTGTATCCGAAGTTTTGATCCATCGACAAACATGGCAGCCATGGCAAAAAATAGAACTTAAAGGTCAAATGCAGTTTTTGGTTTATATGTCAAAAACTAAATCTTTTAGAGCAAATGTGACGGGGGTAAAATTGTTTAATTGGTCAAGATCTATTGGCCCTGAAATTATTAGACGAATCGAACAACCCATTGTTGGGTTGCTGCCACCGAATTGGTAGTTTTAACAAAATTTTTTCCAGTTTTTTGTTATTATTTTGAATATTATTATAGATATATATAAACTGTAAGCAGCAATAATGTTCAGCAAAGTAAGATCTACAAAAAAGTTAATATGACCAAAATTGTCAATTGACCCCTCAAGGAGTTATTGCCCTTTAAAGACAATTTTACACAATTTGTTCATTAAGTTTGCTAACATTTAAAAATCTTCTCTGAAATACAGGTGAGCGATTCAGGCTCTTGAGAGCCTCTTGTTTTCCTGTGTACAAGCTTTAGTAACCATGTAACAGCCAGTTTCTAAAATATTCAACAGAAACACCATATAAAAAAATAATGGTGCTTTGAAACAGCCAAGATATATGTTTATGACTCAGACATTTTTTATTGCAATGAGATGTAGGATTAATTTCCTTCAACTGTCAAATTCAAGGGATTATTTCCCTTTTTCATATATGGGCAATAATTTGGTATTGGGACAGTTTCCGATAACGATAGAAAAGTGATAAAATATTGTATTTTGTTGAGAGAAGTTGTTGCTCCACCATCAAATGCTATTATTTCTATTAAAATATAGGTGCTTTCTAATCTCCCCTAGAGAGAACTTGAAATAAACAAATATATAAGATTATTTGGCCACTTTTGTATGTCGTTTCTTAGCGTTATTTTCGCTTCCGAAGTGCGTAACGCTGCCCGATTTAAAGATAATCGTCGCCTGCAAAATCGTAACTTTTGATTTCAAATAATAAAGAACATGGATCAAAAAGAATAGTCAGAAGAAATTGCCGAGAACTATAACTATTTTTGTAGCAGGTGTAAGAAAAGTAGCGTTACTTTGGTTTCCGATTTCGTAACGCAAAATTTAGATGGTGTAGTCTGCTTTATTGTACTTGAATTCTTCATAACAATATGCAAATATGAACTCTCACGAGATGTTCAAACAGGTAAATCAGTGATTATTTATATTCTAGTTTTGTCCTTCGTAATAATTAAGTTAGAAAATGACGTTATCGTTATGCGTTACATTTCACACGAAACAGAAGACCAGTTATCATGGTTATTTACTTTTTATTTTATTAAAATTGTTTTTGTTGTTCAGTCCAAATCATTTCCGGTCATACGTGAAACATGTGGCTAACATGTGATTAAGCGCTTACGGCCGGGTATAGGAAATATTAGGTCTAAACATCGTTTTTGTTTCCAACGGGATAGTAGCAAGCATATTCTGTAGACTGTTTTCATATTGTTTAAAAAAGGAAGATACAATTTTGAAAGAGATCGCAACGGGGGTCTATTATTTTTCCTACGTGCATAATGTTGCACACTATCTTGAGTGAAAATAAATGCCCAATGACTTGACAAAATCGATTTCTTATTCTAGGGACGTTACAACACACTTTGTTTCCGGATAACGATGAAAAGGGTCCTTGGAAAATTCAATCAACATTACGTCTCTTATCATTCTGCCGATGCTCGATGAATTGATTTTGCTTTAGCATTAAATTGTACTTGATATTTTAGGTAAATACAGATAATTTAAAAAAAAATACATGTTGATATACCGTTACACTTGGAATGTACAGAGTTGGTATCTTTGTCACAATTTTAATTTTTTTATTTTAATCATATTCAGCAAACACTTTTCAAAAATGCAATAATATTGTCAAAGGAGAAGTGAAGTTTTACCATGCATGACTTGAAAGGAAGTACTTTATCGATTTTAGCCCACTAAAGAAGGTTAACATGTGGAAACCATGTACATGGTGTACATGTCACAAATATCACATGATGCCTATTATAAGATTTTAATTCAAAGTTAAAAGTTTTTTACTTTACTGGATTAATAGGAATTTGACATTGGAATTAATTGTATAAAATTGGAATTTCAAAACCAATAAATACATTTTTTTTGGCTAAAACATCAAGATACAACGATTATGGTATCCTGTATCAATTAAGAAAACATGGAAATTCTCTGAATAAATTGCACTAATTTTTTTAAAACAAACACATATTTAGGAGTTTAATAGTAATACTATTACATTTAAGACAGAGTTTAACCAGAGATGCAAATCTAAATGCATATGTATGCCAGTAGTAAATCAATACATGGAAACCGCCAATGTTGTATCCAGTTTAGTTGTATGCGTCACAATTTCATAGCATTTCAAAAGTGTTATTTCCCTTCAGGTTATAAAGTAGTGCCGGTTCACTGCCTGCATGGCCAATATATCAAAACACTTTTCTTTTCAACTTAAAAGTAACATTTTGCTTTGAAAATATGTTCCTATATCAAAGAAGTAGGTCCGGTAAGAGCCGATTTTGGCCTCAAATTTCAGGTTCATCTGATGAAAGATTTTGGACACTTTTTAAACACTTAAGTGTCTACTTCAGTCGATTCAATTAGTTTATGTGAAAGATTTGAACTGATTTTATCATTAGAGGCGCTAAAATTCAAGCTTAAACATGAAAAATCTATCAAATATGCCATAATATGTCACTTTTCAGATAGTTTTTGTCAAAAATGAAAGTGGCCGCATCCGTGTTCACTCTCAACCTTTATATATGTTATGTATTATCATCAAATACAACTTACAATTAAATATCAAGAATGAACACATATGCGGCCACTTCCATTTAAGATGGAAACCGTCTAAAATTTAACTAAAATGCTAAAATTGTGAAGATTTCAGTAATTTAGCATGACTTAATGATGCTAGTACCGATATATGTGCATTGTTTTGTCAAAAACAGCCCATATTTATATAGCAGAAGTATTCTACTTTCCAATTAATAGCTAAAAGTTTAAATTTTAACAATTTTGTAAAACTGCTATATTTTGGGGCCAAAAAGGTGTCTTACTGAACCTACTCCTTTGCCATAAAACATTGCATGAAATAACATGTCACGGGTGCCACATGTGGAGCAGGATCTGCTTACCCTTCAGGAGCACCTGAGATCACCCCCAGTTTTTGGTGGGGCCGGTTCGTGTTGTTTAGAATTTTTTATTAATCAAGATTTATATATTTGTAGTCACAAATTTTGGAAAGAAATTTAGTGAAATAAACCAGGCTATTCTTATTGGTATATGAGATTTTTTATATGAGAGGTTATATTTCTGTAATCCATGGTACTTAATTGTAATTTTCCAGCAGTTGTAATGAAAGGGTGTAAACAATTATAGGATTTCATTGAATTTCTATACACCCGCAAAATAATGGTTTTGTATATGGAATCTTGTCTTTATTAAAAAGAAGATGTGGTATGATTGCCAATTAGACAACTCTCCACAAGAGACCAAATGACACGGAAATTTACAGCTGAGCTAAAGATCACTGTATGGCCTTCAACAATAAGCAAAGCCCATACCACATAGTCAGCTATAAAAGTTCCCGAAATCACAAATGTGAAACAATTCAAACTTTTATTGGATATAAGAAGATGTGGTGTGAGTGCCAATGAGACAACTCTCCATCCAAGTCAAAATTTATAAAAGTAAACCAATATAGGTCAAAGTACATTTTTCAACATGGAGCCTTGGCTCACACCGAACAGCAAGCTCATAATAAAGGGCCCCAAAAATTACTAGTGTAAAACCATTCAAACAGGAAAACCAACAGCCTATTAAATCTATATAAAACATGCAATTTTACAAAAAGCAAGGGACAGGGTGGATGTTACAAGATACTACTTATACTGTGGACATCACTCACATATTGGATGTTCCCAACATTGAAATGTTTGTTGGATCACGCTTTTTGTTTTGTCTTCAATAAAATTTAGAAATTTAAAATGTCATGCATCTTTCCAATTGAATCAAAAGTGAGAGCTGAGAAAGTGCCTCCCAACACCCCAATACATTCACTTCTGGAACAGCCCTTTATAGAAAAGTACATTATATAAAATAAGTAGCAGTAGCTAGATCTCCCAGTTTTTACAGTGCTTGAATTTTCTGGTTAGTGACGCATAATCACAAAGTGTAAATCATGCAATTGTGTTACAGAGCTAGCTAGCACACTGCATTGGGTTTCTAAGGGTAAGTAGGCACATGTGCTACATATAAAAGTGTACAAGAATTATAACAAAAAGCAAGAGAAAATACATTGGTAGTCAAAATCAGTAGATGTAAGTCGGCGCCCAAAATAATTTATTATAGTGACATCCTAAAGACTTAGTGCCCTTGTTTCTATATTCTTATAATTTTTATTGTCTATTGGAAAAAAATTATCAAAAACAGTCCTTAAAATTTAAAAACTAAAGTTATAAGTAACATTATCAAGAAAAAGTTTACTGTTCAGATTATTTTAAGCTGATTTTCCAATAAAATAACACTAAAAAAATGCTTTCGGTTTCTTATGGTTTCCTGTCGCGTTTAAAAAAAACCTTAATTTAACATTGAAAATAGATTTTAAATATCAACATGAAGCAAGTAACACTAGTAATGGTGTTCATTTATGTCTTTTGAAATAAATTGTGCAAAATAAAGAAAATAAAGTTTTGTTTCCTGTTTGGTTTCCTGTCACGAAAACGGTGAATCAAAATTGATTAATCTTTCCTCGAAAAACCTACTTGTTCCATTAATACTAGTCTCACACCAACACAACCCACAGAATAAAAGTTAAAGTTTTAGAACTTAAAAAAAAAGATACAAAAAGAAACCAAAGGCCGAATACCAAATTATTGCCCATATGCAACCAGATGCTGTACCATGATTTGATGGTTTTAAACCTTTATACCTCCAGCCCTCTAAAGAAGGATAATTTTATTCACTTATGCAAGTTACCACCATATAAGTTGTTTGGTCCCAACATGTGCAAGACAAAAAGAAGCTAAGTGTTTATTTCCCTTAGTCCCTTAGGGAAGATAGATACTAGACGAACTGATGACTATATATATTATAACACTTTTCATTGTGAAAATCAAATAATCCTGGAGTAACATTCTTTACTCACAAAAGATTTAGTAAAGTTTTAAGCAATAATCATAAATTGTTTTTGAGATACGGCGCGACATGTGAAAAAAAACACACACCTGTTTTAGTTATTAAGTCCTGTAACTCAAAAAGTTTTAATCTTATTTTCACCAAAAAGTAAACAGATCGTTTGACCATCATAAGAAACAACTACAATGTATGTTAAGTTTCATGAAATTTGGATAAGTCGTTCTCAAGTTACGGTGCGACATGTTTACGCTGGACAGACAGACGACATTTCATGTTTACGCTGGACAGACAGACGACATTTGTATACCATAATACGTCCCGTCAAAATTTTGACGGGGGCGTATAAAAAAGAATCAAATGATCGTTCTGCCATAAAAATCCAATTTTCCAAATTGAGAAACATTTAGATAGGACAATAGAACAAGAGGCTCCCGTCTTGGGACAGGCACATTAAAATAATATAAGTTACCACACTATTATCATAGCACACTGTGGACAGTAATTAAGCTAGCAAATACCCTTCAAGTGCTATGAGATGCACCAACATTGTACTTGAAGAATGAAAATATGATGAATACAGTACACAAAACAAAATGTACATGAAAGGAGAAAGGGCATTAAGACCCGGTTTTGCCCCAAAAAAACTATTCAAATTAATTTGCACATGTTTGGGAATGCATAAAATCAAGAAATATAAATGAATTATATACACAAGATTTTTGATGTTATGACGTCACATTTTATGAAAACAAAGAATACTGCTAACTTTGTGCAGTTTTCCGTCAATATTTCCTTTAAAGAAACATCATGCGCAGGCAAGAAACAACAAAATAATTTGAGAGAAGCTTTATCATAACCATTGACATATATTCTAACCAAATATAAAGTTGTTTCTTGGAAAGATATGAGATGTGTGGTACGAGTTCAAATGAGATGCACTGTGTCACATATCATGCATATACTTACCCCATATCTTATATTGACTTAATAGTTGATGTAAAACAATGACTTAAAAGTTGATGTAAAACAAGGAAAATCAAGAAATTGTACAAAATATATACATTTGGTCTGAGACTACTATAACACATGTGTTACGGTAGGTCTTTTCACCACCGAACACCACCGCACACCGCGGAACACATTAAAATACCATCTAACACACATAAATATATTGTTTTCATCTTTATTTATATATTTGACAAATTCTGAACGAGAATGAATATGTTTATACATATTATACACAAATTAATAAGAAATGATAACAAGAGAACCAAAAAACAGTACTCTTTCAAGTCTAACAGTTTTTTAAATATAATTATTGGGATAATTTCACATTAAATAAAATGTTTTAACTTATTTGAACAATTTATTTCTAATTATTGAAAAGTAAAGACCATAAGATAATATACAAGGAAATACAGATAATGTAAATCCGGAAAAAAATATTGCTGGATCCAGAAGCGTTTTTTTTTTTTTTATTTTAATTCTCAACTTAAAACATTAATTATCACTAATGCACATAAAAATGTGAAAAACATGACCATAGGATTAAATTTTATGCAATTTAATTGATTTTATTTTGTAACATTACTATTTTTCTTAAGGGTTAGTGGTCTTTTTTGGGTGTTCGGTGGGGAAAAGACCAACCCCATGTGTTATAGTATTCTCAGATGTAGTTTGTTTGCATGGTACAACATGTAACTTGTTAAATGTTGAATTTGTTAATATTACTTTCACTTTTAAATTTGTACACCTTAACAAATGATTTTAAAAGTTTCCTGCATTTTGAGTTGCAGAAATTAGCTGAAATTTTTATCTCGTCTTGTGCAAGATTATTTGCTTTCAGCTTTAACCAGGCCAGGATTTTCATTTTCAAAATCCTTCTGCCCCTGCTAGGCAGGACAGGAGTTTTGAGTAAAAAAAAAAGGCAGGATGAGACACTTTGCAAAAAAAAAGGCAGGATGACAATTTATGAAAAAAAAAGCCAGGATAAACTAAAAAAAAAAAAAGGCAGGACCAAAGAGTGAAAAGTAAAAAGGCAGGACAGAGATTACAACTAAAAAAAAATGCAGGACAAAATTTTTCATCCTATATATTTCATTTATAAACTCACTGTAATTATGTATTTGTCACTGAATCTTCGTCATAAGCCTTTTTATCTAGGAGCAAAAGGTATAACATCTTTCTCGTATGTCATGAAATACAATATGGACGACGTTTGAAGCGCGCGAAACAGGACAGCCCGGGGCTAGATTTGACCCAAAAATTTTATTAATTATCATTCATTGATTTTAACCAATAATAAAAAATAAAAAATCAATCATTTTTGCTTACACAATTTTTTTATATTTTTTAAATCGTTTCTTTCTTCTTTTCAGTTTTTCGTCGTAAAAAAATATAATTTAGATTTGACCTTGAACTGTGCACACAGCTCACCAGTTTCTTATATATTCCTCCATTAATTGTGGAGCACTACCCATAGGGTATAATTGTAGCAACTATATACACCTTAGAACATAAGGAAACATTTAATTATGTACAGATAACTGAATTTAGGCAATAATAATTACTAAATAATTAATATTATAACTAATTCATAGGATTGTCATCATAAAATTTAAAAAATAATATTCATAATGTGCTGAGGTGTAAGAATAAGTTAAGTAAGAACTGGATATATTTACAAATAAGAATTTAGAATTTAAGTGGTCTTAAATTAAACTTTCTTATAATTGTTAGTTAAAGGTGCTATATGTACATCAGAATTTATAATGAGAAGGTTATTTTATAAGACTTATGTAAAAGGGTTGGGGTTTAGAATAATTCATCATATATACATAAGTTTTCCTTCACAGTTTAAAGTTACCTTATTTCGGATCTTATCATTATTCTTTAAAGGTAACTGGATATCTTAAAACTTTGCAAAAAAAATTATTTAATTTAGGTCCTAATAAGTCATAAAATAGTAAGATGGTAAAGTAGGGAACTATTTTATTTTAAAAAGTTTATTTATACTTATACTGTACTTGTGTTCAAGTTTTTTATCCTTTTTGTGCGCAGCATGTGCATCTCGTAGCACATATTTCCTGCCAGAGTTTCAATGTTTTCATACACAGTTGAGTAACAGTTTGTGTCCTTGCTAGTACAGTCCATTATGAGCTGCAGTAAATTTCCTTCTTGTATGATCTTCTTATATGTTGAGGTATCAATTTCATCCATTGTCTGTTCGATTTTTGAGCAATATTTAGATCTTATTTGCTCCAATTCTTTGCAGCGTAGAATAAAATGTTCTAGATCTTCATTTCCCTGTTCACAGATTGTACATATCGGGTTAATTTTCGGATCGAACTTAGCTCTTTTGGCTTGTAATATGTACGTTTGAGTACTTATTCTTGCTTTTATTTCTCCTGCCTTTACATCTTTACTATTGTTTTTTACGCTTTTCCATATATTGTGTGCTTCATTTAATGGATTGTTCTGTATCTCTATGTATTTAAGTGATGTTTTTTCCATTTTTTCATAATGACATTCATTTTTCCAGTATTCCTTGATCTTTATTCCTACTAGTCTTTTCCATTCGATTTTCTTAAGTGGACTTTCTATGTAGTAACTACTAGATTTCAAATTGTATTTTGATAGAGTTTTTTCAACTCTGTTGATAAAGTCTTTTCCTCTTTGGTCTGAAAATGCTATTTGTCGACGCAGAATTTCACATTCTATGGTTCCTGAATTTCGAACAATATTCATGAAGAAGGTAAGTAGATTTTTGTCTAATGTGATGGCAATAGGTTCTGCTCCTACCAAGGTATAGGCAGCCATATTTGCTGTATTATTTGGAAGCCCTTGTATTTCATGTATTTGTCGGAGGATTTTTCTCTCTGCCAGTTCTAGCATATCCTTTTCTTTTGCAAGTAAGTTCATCACCTCAAGTCCGTAGATGCTTCTTGGTACTGCATATGTTCTCCATAGCTTGTATGCGACCATGGGTGAGAATCCCCTTCTGACAAGTAAACCGGCTCCGAGAAGGCTGTATATTGTTGCCCTGCCAGTTCTTATTCTTTCAGAGATATTTGCCCGGTTTTGCTCGTTTCTTTTGATACATAGTTGTTTGGTTTCATTGGTTATATTGATGTCATCGTCTTCGAATTGCAGTGTTGTTATGTTTGAGCCTTTTGCATTATATAAAACAGCTTCAGATTTAGTTGGATTGATCTTAACTAGATCTCTGCGTGTATGGTGCTGTACTATGTCTAATATTCCTTGTGCGTCTGCAGTACTATTTGCCAGGACAGCAATGTCATCGGCACATGTGGGTGCAGGGACTTGTATATCACCAATACATGCTCCAAGTCCACTTTTTAAAATGCTATCCAGTATGACGTTGTTGTAGCATTTATATAGCGTCGTAGATAGTTTTGCACCTTGTTGAATTCCTTGTAACACCATTACATCTTCTGTACATCGACCTTCCCATTTAACCTTAATGCTCATGCTTTTATACAAGTTTTTCAGTAGTATCCAGAGTTTTCCTTTAATTCCATAATGGTACAACTTGTTGAATAGTATTTCATGGTTTAGTTTGTCAAATGCTTTTTCTGCATCAAGAGTTATTAAAATCATCAGTATCTTTAATTTCTTACTTTCTTTGATTGCTTCTGATGTGAGGAAAGCTGCGCATAGTGATGACACTCCTTCTGTAAAGCCTCTTTGCAAGGAGTTTTGTATGTTATCAAATACAGATTCAAAATATCCTTCAGTATACTTTGTAATATTTTTGCAAAGGTTTTAGTCACAGTTATTCCTCTATAGCTAGATGGTAATGTTTTGTCTTTTTCTTTCTTTAGGATTGGTGTAAGAATCCCTGTCTTTAGGAAGATTGGTACATCCAGATATGTTAAAATTAAATTTAGCAAATGTACTATAAAGGGAGTTAACTCATCCATCCTATATTTGTAGTGTTCTGCCGAAATTCCATCCTCATCCGGTGCTTTTCCTGCTTTAAGTTTTTCTATACTTTATTAACCTCCTTTACATTGACATGACCAATGCCTTGACCTTTTTCCCTTTCTATGGATTCTATTGTATTTCTACAAGCTCTATAGCTTTTCAGTGTCAAAATTTTCTTCTAATGTTGGCGTAGCTAGTTGTTGGAAATGTTCTTGCCAAATGTTCATTATGCTTGGTCCATCTTCTGCAGTCTTTTCATTCAGTTTCAGTATCTTGGTGTTAGTAAGTGGTGTTTTTCTTTGCATGTGAATAAGCTTGTAAAAAAGTTTTGTGTCTGCATTTGAAGCTTTCATAATTTTTCCCGCTGTTGATTCTCTCTGAGAGGCATAAGCTTGTCTTTGTGCTTTTCGAAGTATTCATTTTGCAGCTGTCATTTTGATTTTGAGCTCGTTACTTCTTTCTTGAGATGCTCCATGTTGCCTCCATACTTTATATGCATTTTTGATTGCTTTGATGCCTTTTCTATTTGTTCATTCCATATCGCCTTTCCCTTTGATTTGCTTTTGATTTTTCTTTTATACTTTGGGATTGCCGCTTCTCCGGCTTTATGTAGCAATTTTTTTATATTTCTTATATCTTGTTCAATGATTCCTTTTGATTTTTGCATGAGGTTTGGTAGATCTTTATTGATGATTTCCTTATAAATTTGATGGTCACAGTCAGTCCATTTAGGTTTTGCTATGATAGTTGTTGCTTTTTCCCTTACTTTTTTCAGTTGGCTATTCAGTGTCAGAATAACAGGTACATGGTCCGAGGTATTCTCTGGGTCAGTATCAAGGACATCAATTTGTCTGATTTTATTTATTATTTCCGATTTCCTTTGAAGAGGAAATAATCAATTTGTCCTTTCGATATACCATTCTGGTGATAAAATGTTCATTTTAATGGGCATTTCTCAGTATTTCCTATACATTTTTCCTTGCAGAAAGTTTGTAGAAAATTATCATGAGGTGTAGAGCTTCTATGGAGTGACCCGTTCATGTCTCCACATACTATAATTTCGTGTGTATCTTTATATTTCTCTATCATTTCATCAACTTGAGCCAAAGTGTCTTTGTATTCGATATCTGCATTTTTGTTATCTGATGGCATATCGATACATTTATAAGACATATTGGTTTGTCTCCTTGTTGAATATGTATGGCTTGTATTCTATTTCCACCGTCTATCAGTTCCTTTATATTTTCATTAATTTCTTTTTTCCAGATTATGGCTACTCCACCATATCCTCTTTTCATTGATACGTTGAAATCAGGGTCGTCATTATCTTCAACGCTTTTAGCTATGTATCCGCTATTTTCAGCAACTTCAGCTATGATTTTCTTTTCCGCATTGAAGAGCCAGTGTTCTTGAATGCATAACACCTGTACATCCCTTAACAAGTTTTTGATATAGAGAGCGTTTGACTTCACATTTTGTACATTGAGTGTACCTATAATGATATCCTCCCTTTTATCTTGTTTGATCGGCCGCTGCCTAAAAAATGATTTGGTTTCTTTCTATTCCCATCTTCTTTTGTTTCTAGATTGTCAGCCTGAACTAGTCCCTTAAGATGCTTAGCCCCCCTTTGAGAGGGAAACTTCTGATGGTAGTCCGCTTCCAGCGGGTCGTCCCCACTAGAAGCCGTTGCTATAAGACCAGTTCTGGAAGTGACTTCTACTTGATGGTTTACTTCTGTATGGGTTTTATCTTCATCATTTTTCGCGGTAGTCAAAGCAGCTGAATTTGTTAGATTGATGTTCATTCCTGTTTCTTCTGTTGGTTCTTTATCTACTTGGTTGATATTATCAGCCTGATTTGTTTGTTGTTGTAGTTGATTTTGTGTTTCAATTTCTTCTGCCTGACTTTGTTTAGCTATTACTGGCATGTTTGTTGTTTGGTCATAGAATCTTTTATTGATGTTTCTTTGACTTTGTTCCTTTCTGTTTGTCTGTTGTTGACTATATCCTTGGTGGTAATTTATATTTTGTGGTATAGGTTGTGGAGCTACCTTATATTGCTGTCTGTATAAATGTGCATTTTGTATCATGTTTACTTAGTGTTGATACTGCCAGTTGGTATACCTCTATAGCCAGTGTAATAGTGGCTGCTTTGGCCATTTGCAGGTATAGCCTGTATTCTGTTATTGTGGTACATTGGCGCTTGTATATGGCCATGATTTATTCTGCTCTGCTCTGTTGGTATCTGGCTATAGTGTGGAGGTGCCAAATGATTCATGAAT